GAGACGCTTGCCACAACCTTCGATTATCCTGTCAAGCTACCCTTTGGCGTACTGCCTTGCAGTCTGTATCCACCTCTGGTGCAGGTTGTAACACTCAGGCTGTGCAGCACCCACCAGAAAACAGCAAATTCTTCCGGATTAATCTAGAACAGCAAGCTCTCTTTCCAGGTTTCGCTCATATTCCATCATCGGAGATCTTGATCCTGAGCCACGTTTTGATGAAAAGACTTTTAAGGCCCCTTCTGTGACCTGTCACAACAAATGGGTTAATCCATGGCAGTAGAAGAAGTTGATGGAGGAAAGGTATCTGTGGGGCCAAGGTACTTCGAATATATCTGTGTGATCACGTGCTTGTGCCTCTCCAACCTGTGCTGCAACACTTTCGGTTCTGTTTCCATTGCTAGGTGGATTAAATCATCTGGCCACCAAATCTCGGTGGACCAACTCCATCCAGTATGCAGCCACAAACGTCATCTTTCTCTTGTTTGACTTGATAGCGGACTGGGGGGGAAAAAACTCCCCTTTCAGATTTAGAGGGCTGGATTGTTCAAAAAGATAAAGGTCGTGCCCGGGTTCGAACCGGGGTTATCAGAATATGATTGATAGAAATCAAAATCTGAAGTGATAACCACTACACTACACAACCTTGAGAGTGTCATCTACTCAGTGACCGACCCAGGGATCGAACCTGGCACCTTTTGTGTGTGAGACAAACGTGATAACCACTACACCAGCCGGCCTTGTACTGATTTGATGTTTCATGATGACACAAGGGATGCACATATAGGCAGGGAGATATGGCTAATTAGAAAAGCTCTATCACTTAAAAGAGACTTGATTGTTTTGCCCACCCGAGAAAAATAGCTTCTTGACTTGACCCACTGCGTACGGGAAATGAAGGACTAACGATGCTCTGGAGCCGCAGATGACCAGTGATTTTGTAATGTTTTTTCCCGTCAAGAAATGTTGTGTCCTGAACAGCAGACAACTTTGGAAAATATTCAAATATTTTTATTTCAGTTTCACCCTCGAACTCCAGAAAACTCGAATCTATCGTACATGTACTTCAAGTCCTCGTAAGCCCGGTTCTCTTGTTCCTTCTGCTGCATATCCTGATTAGACTCTATGTCTGGATAAGATCAATGCGTTTGTAGGTATGCAGTGTTTATATCGGAATATATTAACTCACTTAGCAAATTAATGCTCTATGCATTTGACACAGTCGCCCACACAACCATCGCAGACGCACCAACAAAACTTTTGTGAATTTAGTGAGGCGTCCTCGGTCATATTGGCAGGGGGGATGTCGAGAGGTGCACTGAGAATGAGTGAGGGCAGGAGAAGCCCGAAGAGGAAATGATAGAGAGAGAGATGCATTTTGGTGGATTTGTTTCTTGTGTTTGCGCAGTGTACTGATTTTGCACTGGGGTGTGTTGGAGTGTAGGAGTGAAAGAAAGATTTGGAAGAGTCAAAGAGAACATTAACTTTAAAGAAGATGGGAGTTGTTTGTGTTCTTGTCCCACGGGATATCCGCATTGTGACGTTCATCATTGACCGTGAAACTATGGTAAGCCGTTTGTATTACCTTGTGACTTCCAATACGTACATGTATACGTGGATGTGCCTGCTCAGATGAAAGTCGGACTTTGCCACGTGTTAAGCTTCCATCACCTCAACCCCGTTGTTCCTCGTCACATTCGTCATCGCCTTCTTGTATAATATCAAACCGTGAAAACTCCGGCTCGTAGTCATCGGTGCCACTCAGTGACGATCCTGTGCCAACGCTGCTCGGGGTGGACCACATGGATCTGTAGCTTCCTGTTCCGCGGCTGCTGTTGGATTTGCAGACCGATCCCGGGCTATTGGGCATCCCGGTCCCACCTCTGGCTCTCTCCAAGTGTCGTCGTGGCAGTGATACCTCCTTCCAGCTGAAACCCAACTTGCTCTCCGTGTCTGGAGGACTGGGACTGTAAATTTCTGTCAGCTCAAGCTTCATCTAGTGGCGGTAAAATATTGTTTGGACTTTCCTACCTCATACTTTCTACAGTGTGTCCAGACACTTCCAATCCCCTCACACTGGAATCTTGAAGGTACTTGCTTTCCAGATCAATAGCTCTCTTATGCCACAGATGACGCTTTCCAACCCGTTCATTGACCCAGTCAGTGGAAAGGAGTGGACCGATCCGTTGGTTAGCCTCCCAGCTTTGGAGATGCATCTTCCAATCTTTTACCTCCTTTTGCAATTCCTTATCCATTGTCGCCCATTGTTGTGTAGTCCGAGTGGCAAAATAAGTCCTAAAGGTGACCTTCCGATAATTCTCCTTCCATAAATTTGCAGCCGCATCTAAGCCAAGCTTCATAAACCTAAAGGCAAGCACTTGTTCCTCTTGACTCATTCTGGGTACCGCCCACTCTCTTATAAAGTCTGCCATGTCTTCCAGATTTACTGCATCAAGTGGAACGTGTGTTTTGACCTGGATCGGTCTAGGTTCGAATATCGGTGACAGCTTGTCTTTAATGTCAGCTACGATGCTCGACATGGGAATTAGTAACCCGTCGCCTAGGGAGTTGACAGCAACCACCTGACCATGAACGATCTTCTTCCCGGAGACGTCAACGCTTATAACCCAGCTTCCGCTATCACCGGGAGTCAGCACCTCGGACCCATTAAGTCTGAATGTGAGCAACTCCACCAGCTCCATGCTTGGAGGGAACGACAAGAAGGCGAGCTGGGGAGAAATTTGAGCTTCCGGGTATCCTTTCACTCGGTTGAGAAGTATGACTTTAGGGGTTTCATCGATATCGATTGAGGGGTCACTTGGTTCGAATACGTCGTTTCTGTACTCCGAAAACGGGTAACACTCTGATCTATCCTTGAAGAGATCTAGAAGTGCCCAGTCAAGGGTTCCCTCGTCCACGGTCTCGGTGTCAATGTATTCTAAAACATCATCTTCCCAGTTCAGGAGACTGCCTGATCCCAGAGTTACATGTCCAATTTGCTGTGCCGGCTCTGAAGCTTTTTGTTTGCCCTCGAGCTTGGTGTCTTCTTTGTTGTCTTCCACTTTAGATGCGAGAGAAAGGGTCCGGGTGGCGTGAATTAGGAACGTCTCATGCTGCTCTGTCGGAAAGTCGTATTTGAGCCATTCATGGACGGTTTTGAGTACCGCAAGTGATCCTTGATCCGTGCCATTTCCTATGTTTGATTGTAGACATTGAGCTCTGGCGTACGTTTTGCAGCAATCTTTGCATTTCTCGACAAGATCCAGGATCTTGTCGTCATGACTTGTTTGCTCCTTTAATTGACTCTTTGCGGCAATTCGCGTCGTCCAGTTATCAAGAGACCGGAGTATGTCGATAATAAGTGCCAGTGGGTTACTTTCCATGTCCAAGTCACCGTCACTTTTATCCTCAATCCCATGCCACGTTGTCAGGCCGAACCACGAAGCATCTTTCTCACGCTTGGGCGTGATTGTCACGAACCCACCGAGACTAGAAGCCACACTATTTCCTTTACCGAGATCAATCGTGACTAGGTTGCCAGGTAATGCTGAACGCTGGGCTCGCGACTGGTATGGTCGCGTGTAGACCGGGAACTGTGCAAGAAAGGTGATCTCACGGCCAACAATAGAAACATCAACGCTTAACATAGTCGAGCCTAGATTCCTCACTTGTGAATAGACAATAAATGAGTCTATGGCGGGTCGTTTTTCCTTGAGAAATTGCTTTATGTGACTCTCGGCAAGCGGATGGCACTGAATGATGATTTCGACCGTCAATTTGTTGTTGGAGCCTCCTTTACCACAAGACACGGCCGGAAATATGGCAATCGCATGTGAGTTGCGACCAGGTCGTGAATTAAGATGACGAGCAATTTGGGTGCCAAAGTTGCGGCGAAAATCGCAAACAATCCCTCGAGCTGCACGGTGCATCGAACTGTCAATTACAGCATCCTCTGGTTGTTCTTCTGGCCGTTTCTCCGCTGTTGTTGAATCCAGCGTTGCCTTTTGCTGATCATGATGTTTGGGGGATTGAAGTTCATCCACAGGTTCCAGATGCGGGTCCATCTTCAATCGCTCTGTCGGATGTTTTGAACTCGACGATGACATGGAATTCTGGTCATCGTCACGTTCAAGTGATGTGCCGAACGAAACGTATCCCGAGTCATGTGATGATTCCGATGATCCTCGAGAAAATCCGATCTTGCTGGCCTTGTTGACCTTAAGCTGCAGCTTTTCGAAAAGTGTCATGACGGGGTGCTGTTGAGGTTGGCTGTTGCGTACAGTTCAATAGTCTTCAATGTGGACAAGCTCGCGATGTGAAGTCGAAAAATGAGGGAGCCCAATCAGGCACCCCAGTGAGACTGAGGGGTAACACAGTTTCCCTGCCCGATGCCGTCTGCACCATAGCGGGGCGAAGTCGGGGAAGGTGGGCCTGCGGCACAGCAACTTCAGTGAAGAGAAAAGATAATTTGGCTTTGAAATAATCACCAGTTGTTGGCTCAGAGACATCATGGAGCTCCAGTGGGTGCCAGCCCTCCCACCCATCTCAACAACTCAAATAAAACAACTCCTGTCAGTCCTGTGGGAGTTGCCCTTTTGCCAACAATGTCTCGGTTCCGGCGCCTCAAGGGGCCATGATGGATGCACATCTGATGAATGCCCAGATAGCACATATCAGGCGCAGTTCCGGCACTTCATCACCTATTATAAGCGACTCTGCGCATCATATGAGCCCATGGCCATGACAGGCAATCCCGCACTTCGTACGCACGACGACATCAGAAATATCATCAAGCAACTAAGATTGCATCCAGACAACCCAAAAGCCGAGGTTCAGAGACTGGTCTTTCCAAAGTCGACAGACCCAGATGACGAAAGCAACGCTTTGAACTTGGCTGTGAGTATCTCCATGATGCTCAACTGCGGATCACAAGAGTTTTCATCTATCCTGCTTGAAGACGGGTGTAACAGAATAGTCTGGAGGCAAGGGACTACACTTACAGAATACATGAAGCTTGTTCTTCCGCGACGAGAAACTCTATCACCCCAGCGATATGCGCAACAGGCATTCCTTGACCTGAGTTGCCCCTTGGTTATGGCGAAGGAGATGAAGCGCCAAGCTGGAACTCGATTCTGTGGAACTGACGACATCACCAATCACCTGCGTTATGATGCCATCAACAATGTGCTTTTTGTCTTTCATCACACCGCTGTGCTCAAAGAACACCTTCGTCTTTCGAAAAACTGTGGAAGCAGTCCATCTGAATCCAGCTGCCTGCAAGTGTAAGTTAAACCCAACAGATCCGCTCCCAACCACGGAAACGCGCATCTAAACTCTCATATTTCAGTGCCGCACTTCCCCGTCAGTACGCCTTGGAGGTACTTTACTCGACTCAAAAGATTCTCTTTCCACTTTGGGACTCGGAATCTGTGACGCTGCTCCAGTCTCTGGTGGAAAGAGCATCCTTTGACAGTGACATCCTGAACGGGAATGAGTACGACTTTATCGAAGATAACGAGGAAAAAATTGATTTTGAGTATCTTTGGCCGCGGTTGTCAGAGATTTATCAAGAAATTCAAAACCCGCGGCCTCGAGGGTGGTTGGCAAACTGGTTGGAACGTCGAAGCGGTGCGAGATACGTCATGC